GGCACTCTACCCAGGGGCTCAGCTTGAGGCTCTGTCTCAAAAAAAAAAAAAAAAAATGACAACTGGCAATAAAAAAGAAGAAAAATAAAAATATTTATTAATGTTAAAAGTTCTATAGTTTAGACTCATTTCAAGTAAGGAGAAACAGACCCATGAATTTCTCACTAGTCTCTGAGCAACAGGTTATCACAACACAGAATAACTATTCATAGTCATAAATAAATCAACAGGTTAAATTGTTCTCAATCTATTCTGTTTAATAGGGCAAGAAACAATGATTCATTCTGGAAATATTCTTATCAAAAATTAGTCAAAATTATAAAGATTCATCACCTAAGCTTTTGATATGTGAAATACAAACATGCTGGTTCTCTGAGAATGTCAGATAAATGAGTTTAGGCAAGAAAATTTATTGTTACAGAAAGTGTGTTCAAATAAGGATTACTGAGACTCTAACAACTAAATCTAGAATTTCACCTTCATTCCAAAAGCCACCAAACCAGTTTTCTTTATACTACCTGGGCTGGTTTAGGGAAATATTTAGTCAATATGCAGTCTGCCAGTGACGTAGGTAAGTAAGACAGAGGGATGAAGAAAAATCGAGCATCCCAGCCAGCCGAATACCGAGTACGGGGATGCACAGATGTCAGAGCATGTTCCATGCAGTCAGTGACCAAGTTCAGGTTCGTGCTACATCGCATCAGCCCCTCTTTTATGACATTGTAATCTGTAACCAAAAAGAGAAATGGCGATGAGCAAACTTATTCCCCATATTTTTAAACCATCTTGCACTCAGTCACAGAAGTCTAATCGCATTAATTTTTTACAAGGATTAGGATAATCCAGACTGTGCTTCCCAACTAGCCACAATATAGCTTTTTCTTTCTTTCTTTCTTTCTTTTTTTTTGAGACAGAATCTCACTTTCTTGCCCCTGGTAGAGTGCCATGGCATCATAGCTCACAATAACCCCAAACTCTTGGGCTCAAGTGATCTCTTGCACCAGCCTCCCAAGTAGCTGGGACTACAGACACCCACCACAACACCTGGCTATTTTTAGAAACAGGCTCTGGCTCTTGCTCAGGCTAGTTTGTGAGCTCAAGCAACCCACCTGCCTCAGCCTCCCAGAATTCTGAGATTACAGGTGTGAGCCACTGTGCTGGCCCATGGCTTTTTTTTTTTTTTAGATGGAGCCTCAAGCTATCCCCCTGGGTAGAGTGCCATGGCATCACAGCTCACAGCAACCTCCAACTCCTGGGCTCAAGCGAGTCTCCTGCCTCAGCCTCCCAAGTAGCTGAGACCACAGGCACCAGCCACAATGCCCAGCTGTTTTTTGGTTGCAGCCATCATTGTTGTTTGGCAGGCCAGGCTGGATTTGAACCCACCACCTTAGGTGTATGTGGCTGGCGCCTTAGCCAGTTGAGTCACAGGCACTGAGCCTTTTTTTCCTCTTTTAATGTAGCTACTAAAATATTTAAGATAACATATGTGGCTCTCATTATATTTCTATTAGACAGCACTAATCTAGATTATCCTTATCCATGGACAAATAAATAAACCATCTGAATTCCTTTTAAATCGGAAAATACACATATCCCACCTTTTACGTATAGTAACTTCATAGTCAGTTCTAGGTTCCTGTTGATTTCTATTGCTAAACTTTATGTGCCCATAAAGAGAAAAATGTTTCCTGAGGAGAAGCGCATACCAATGGCCTGCCCTCTAGCTTGTGGGGAACTGTAGTTCTCCAGCTGGATGAGTTCTGAAAGGCTCAGGCTCTGTCTCTTCAGCCTTTCCCTCATCCAGCTTCTCTCCCCTCTATTGATGGTGACTCTCTTAGACTTGATGCACCCAGAAGACAGGCTCTGGGTTGAGAATATTCTAACTGCACATTCCCCTCCTCCCTCTCTCTGGACTACAGTATCTCCCAACGTCAGTAACAGGACTGCCTCTATCCACTGGCTTTTTGTGAAATAGAAAAGAGAGCTTCCCTCTTCGGACTTGACAAGTTGTTAACATCTTTGTGTGAAGAAAAAGCATCTTGTCCCCCAGGAAAGCATAGCCCCATGTATCTTGGGTTACTTCTACTAAGATGACCACCTTGCCCCTCCCACTGCCACCGCCACCTCCCCTCTGGGTCATCACCAGAATGATGTTCTTACACGAAATTGAACAATATCACTCCCACAAGTCTCCTAGGATCTACACTTCAGAGGTCTAGTCTCCAGAAACGGCCAACAGGGCCCTGCAAACCTCTCTTCTCCCATTTATCTCCTCCAGCCTGTAACTTACACCCTCTCTCCAGTCACAATAAGACACACGGTTTGTGGCAGGCTCTTTGTTACTAAAAAAGTAAACAATGAAGACTGTGCTTGAGATGAGCAGACATCTCACCAAGCCTGCCAAACTACCAAGGGGCACACCATCTCAAGACCCAGAGGTTCCACGCCTCTAAGTATGTGCCAACACCTCTTAGTGCTTAAGAGGCCAGGCCCACAGGTAACAGGGCAAAGAAGACCCTGACCCCAGGTTGCCTGTATATTCCCTTCCTCAACCATGACAGCCATCAGACCAAACCAATCATGAAGGCACAAGGACTGTCGTGTCCTCCTTCTGTCCCGGGAAGGTTCTGTGTACGAATCTTCATTCTCAGAGGATCTGTCGATCATTGTCCACCAATCCTCTTTTCTCCTTCTTTAGCAAGGGCACCCATTATCCCTATCAAAAGAAAGAAACTTACAGGCATCAAAAAATTGCTGTCCATAGGACTCCTTAATATGTATGGGGGCTTCTTCCCAGGCTTGCTTCACTCTCCCTAAGGACTTCTTCATGTCTGTCATTCCTGTTCTGAAGTAGCCAGGTTCAATTATGCTGACTTTCACCCCAAAATGTCGAAGCTCACGCCTGAAATAAAAAATTCAAGTCAACTCCTTTGATTAAAAGACATCATGAAAACAAAACAAAAACAAATAGATTAAAAGATTATTAAAATACCTCCAATGAATATTTTAAAGGATAAAGAAATGGAGAAAAATAAAAATGTAAACATCCTTAGGTTTAACTACTGGGACATGACTATAGCAACTACCATAACCATCATTCTTCAATCATTCTTTTTTTTTTTCCTTGAGAAAGAGTCTCACTCTGTCACCCTGAGTAGAGGGTATGATGTCATAGCTCACAGCAACCTCAATCTCTTGGGCTCAAGCAATCATTTTGCCTTTTGAATAGCCGGGACTACAGGCACCCACAACAATGCCCGACTGTTTTAAGTCTCACTCTTGCTCGGGCTGGTCTCCAACTCCTGACTGAGTTCAAGCCATCCACCAGCCTCAGCCTCTCAGAGTGCTACGATTATAGGAGTAAGCCACCACACCAAGCCAGAGGCTCCTTTTATATGAGACCATAGGAAGTGGGCAAATTTCACAGCTTGCCCAAAAGACTCTGGTGAGTTAGGATCCTTTGGCTCAAACTTCAAGGGTGGGGCTAACTAGGTAGGTACTTTGTCTTAGGATGAAAGGAGGAAGGGGAAGGGGAGGCAGGGGAGCAGGAAGGGTGTGTGAGAGGCTATGTTAGATGACCCCACAACAATGATGACATCACTGCACTCTACCTAGGGAAACAGAGTGAGACTGTCTCAAAAAAAAAAAAAAGAAAAAAAATTTATTTACCTAACGCACAGGAAGAATCACAAATTGATTGCCCAATATCTCAGTGAGGTCCTGAAGTCTAAATACCCTCATTTTAGAGAAGAAGAGAAGGTGAAGAATATAGGTAATTCTGTTGAAGGGCAATAAATGGTCACTCGGCAGGAGGAATAGATACTTGGGGGATTAAATGGATGGGGAGAAATAAACTATCTTGTAAATAATTCTATTGTCACACTGAGAAGCAATTAAATAATTCTATTTTTAGGGCAGCGCCTGTGGCTCAGTGGGTAGGGTGCTGGCCCCATATACCGAGGGTGGCAGGTTAAAATCCAGCCCCAGCAAAAGTGCAACAAAGACAATAGCCGGGCATTGTGGCAGGTGCCTATAGTCCCAGCTACTCCGGAGGCTGAGGCAAGAGAATCGCCTAAGCCCAGGAGTTGGAGGTTGCTATGAACTGTATGACGCTATAGCACTCTACCGAGGGTGATAAAGTGAGACTGTCTCTAAAAAATAAATAAATAAATAAAATAATTCTATTTTCAAATTAAATTACTTGGGATTTGGGCCAGGTCTGTTGGCATTCTTTTTTCTTTTCTTTTCTTTTCTTTTTTTTCTTTTTTGAGATAGAGTCTCACTATGTTGCCCTTGGTAGAGTGCCATGGCATCACAGCTCACAGCAACCTCCAACTCTTGGGCTTAAGCAATTCTCTTGCCTCAGCCTCCCAAGTAGCTGGGACTACAGCTGCCCGCTACAACACCTGGCTATGTTGTTGTTGTTATTGTTATTTAGCAGGCCTGGGCTGGGTTCAAACCTGTCAGCCTTGGTGTATATGGCCAGTGCCCTAGCCACCGAGCTATGAGCACCAAGCCTCTGTTGGCATTCTTGATCTTCTTTCCTGAAATATGAGATAACAGGAAGGGAAGGGAAGTTGATTCCTCTTTTTGATGGGTCCATCTGGTTTAAGCAGATAGGGGGCAAGTTCCTTCCAAGGCCTGTTGATCTCTAAGGACCTTTAATTCAAAATACTCAAAACCAGCATTTCTCATCCTGTGGGTCATGACTCACAGGAACTGTATTAAAGGGCTGCAGCATTAGGAAGGTTGAGAACCACTGCATTATACCAAGGAGTCATATTTTGGGGTGAAATATCCTGAGTGCTTCAGACTAAACAGGATTTTTCTCTTTGGACCTAGTGGACAAGGTGGTCTTGCTGTGCCAATAAATCTCACAGTAACAGCCCTTTAGAGAAATATGTTTCTTCAGACTCTCTACAGACCTGTCCCAGATCAAATAGGCAAGGCCTGGCAGCATTTAACAGATTCCCCACAAACACAAACCTAATAGCCTCCTCACCTACACAGTCCTGTAGCCTATTCCTGTTTGCTCGTAGCCACCTCAAAATATGACAAAGAACTGCACTTTGGGTTAAAACATTTCTTACTTCCTTCAGCCCCAAACAACCCCCTTCCACATACACAGCTTCTATAAAATGAGTGCATGTTAATTATCTTAGGACTCTAAGCCTGAATGAAATGTCCATTACAAGTTTATCTCCACAAATGAAAGCCAAGGAAGAGATATGATCACTCTTCTACCCACTCTAAGAAGATTCACAGCACTGACTACTTTCTCAGCCCCCTTTCATGAATGTTCTCCTTATCTTAAATAGATTTACTGGACACCAAATAGAACTTCACAAGAATAAAATCAACTACCTCTCTGCTCACCTCCTCCACCCCTCCCCTTTGGCAGTGTATTCCCTTTTTCCTTTAAATGCAAAATCCTCAACTTCTACCGAGTGCCCAGCCCACAATAGATGATTTGTGGGCTGTGGTTTTCCTGGGTGTGTCCTTAAAATTTTGGCTTAATGAACCTCAACTGAGTGTGACTTGCTCATTTTCAGGCACTTACTATTTAAGTTAACAGTTTGCTATATAAAGTAGACTAGTAAAAATTGTCTATGTCTCAAGATTTGAGGAGTAATGAAATAAGATAAAGTAGGTGAGGGCAACTAGCACAATTCCTAAGATATATCTGAGAGGTCAACAACTGCTTTAACGTAAAAGAGTTACCTCAGAATATCCGAAAAGCCTTCTACTCCATGCTTGGAGCAAGAGTAGACCCCTCCAAAGGAAGCAATTCTCCCCAGAATGCTGGAAACATTGACAATCCTCCCCTGAGCTCTCCTCACCAAGGGAAGCATGCTTGAGGTCACCTGGATCAAACCAATGAGGTTCACTTTGAGGATGTTCAGAGAGTCCTCAATAGTCTGCCACTCGATGAAGGCAACTGGGTCAATAATACCTGCATTGTTGACCAGGCCCCACAGTCCTAAAACAATAAGTCAAATCAGGAGTTTGGTTTCAGACAAAAATTATCTATCTTTAACTTGGTGTTTCCTGAGAAATCATCCATTCCTTCATGAGAGTTTGCTGTACAAATTCATACTACCTGGATGGCCAAAACAAACTCAAGCCAAAAATGAAGTTTAAGGTGGCTATGGACTCTGAGTGCTTTCAGGCACCTGATAGAAGCAATGTAAGTACTATCTGGAGGGAGCCAGGTGCAGTGGGACAGTGTCTGTGTAACAGAGGTAAAAGTCTGAAAAAGGGCAATGAACCATTTTGCAAATTGTCTCTTTAAAACTCCTCCCTCTCTGAGAAGCAAAATATGCATTCCTTCCTGAGGCCACCGATCAAAGGGGCAGAAAAATGTTCTTTGCTCTTTGTTTTCAATTTTCTTTCTTTTTTTTTAGAAACAGAGTCTCACTTTATCACCCTCAGTAGAGTGCCATGGCATCACAGCAACCTCCAACTCTTGGGCTTAGCTGATTCTCTTGCCTCAGCCTCCCGAGTATCTGGGACTACAGGCACCCACCACAATGCCTGGGTATTTTTTTGTTGCAGTTGGGCCAGGGCTGGGTTCAAACATGCCACCCTTGGTATATGGGGCCAGCACCCTACCCACTGAGCCACAGGCGCCACCCTGTTTTTTATTTTCTTAACCACAGGATATGGTTCAACAGAATTGTCCAGGCAAGGGTCACAAGATCATTGGTTTCTAGAAATACAAGCACAGTAAATTACAGTACTTTCAGCTCAATGGTAGGAAAAGTGAGATAAAAAAATTAATTAAAAGAGGAAAAAGGAAATAGAAAAAAAATGGGACAAATAAAAAGCTATAGTAAGATGAAAGAAACAAATCCAAACATATCAATAGGCTGGGCATGGTGGCTCATGCCTGTAATCCTAGCATTTTGGGAGGTCAAGGCAGGCGGATTGCCTGAGATCACAGGTTGGAGACCAGCCTGAGCCAGAGTGAGACCTCATCTCTAAATACTAGCCAGGCATTGTGGCAGGTACCTATAGTCCCAGCTACTTTGGAGGCTGAGGCAAGAGAATCACTTGAGCCCAAGAGTTTGAGGTTGCTGTGAGCTATGATGCCATGGCACTCTACCATGGACAACAAAATAAGACTCTGTCTCAAAAAATAAAAAAGACTAAAATTAAAAAATGAAATGAAAAAATATTTTGGGAAAGAGGACCAAAAGATGACTTCAGGAATGCCTATGTTTTAAGTAGCAGCCATGGGAAGATAAATCTGTTTCTTTTTTTTTTTTTTTTTTTTGAGACAAAGCCTCAAGCTATCCCCCTGGGCAGAGTGCCGTGACATCAGGCTCACAGCAACCTCCAGCTCCTGGGCTCAAGGGAGTCTTCTGCCTCAGCCTCCCAAGTAGCTGGGACCACAGGCGCCCGCCACAACGCCCAGCTATTTTTTGGTTGCAGCCGTCATTGTTGTTTGGCGGGCTGGGCTGGATTTGAACCCACCACCTTAGGTGTATGTGGCTGGTGCCTTAGCCACTTGAGCCACAGGTGCCGAGCCGATAAATCTGCTTCTTAAGAACATCTTAAAAACTTGAAACATAAAGAATTGTGTTTCTAAATACATGATCTGCAAGGTAAAATAATGGCCTCAAATCTTTTGAGCTAATCTTTCAACGTAAGCATTATTAGGGAAACAAATACCACAAAAGATTCTCAGTCTTTCAAATGACAAAGCCCACATTTTAAGTCCTGCTTTTGAGATATACAGTTGGCTCTTCTTATCTGTAGATCTGAACAACCATGGATGGAAAATATATGAACAAAAATCTACATCTGTACTAAATATGTATAGAATTATTTTTCTTGTCATTGTTCTCTAAACACTGCAGTATAACAACTATTTCCACTGTGTTAGGTATTATAAGTAATCTAGAGATGATTTAAAGTATATGGGAGGATATGCGTAAGGTATATGCAAATACAATGTCATTTTACATAAGGGACTTGAGCATCTACAAATTTTGGTACCCACATGAAGTCCTGGAACCAATCCCCCATGGATACCAAGGCACAACTATAACCTTAGCATCTTCATGCCTAAGTAAATGAAAGGAGAAAACACTTCTTCATACCTCTGTCCCCAACACGCTCCTTCACCCACTGTGTGGCTGCAGTGACACTCTCCATCTTGGTGACATCCAGGCTCACTGTCTCCAGCCTATCTGATGTCTGGGCCTTCAGCTGCTCAGCCCCCTTCTCTGTCAGACACCCAGCCAGTACCCTCAAGCCTCGAGTGTCCAGCTGTCTGGCCAGCAGGTTCCCAAAGCCAGAGTCACAGCCCGTGATGAAGACGTACTTGTCTCGGAGGTGGCTCACCACCTGCCTCTCCCGGTGCCAGCGCAGCAGGTAGTACAGGCCCACAAGGGCCGCCAGGTACAGCCACATGTTGAGCGTTTGTCCTTCAATAGAAAGAAAACTTTCATTTTATTTCTTCCCTTTTTCTTTAAACAATACCTATTCGGTATTTACTACATGTTAGGCATTGCACTAGGTACTGGGGACTCTGTTTAGACCAGTGGTTCTCAACCTTCCTCATGCCGCAGCCCTTTAATACAGTTCCTATGGGTCACGACCCACAGGCTGAGAACAGCTGGTTTAGACCAATACTTCGTCCTAACCTCAAGGAACCACAATCTAAAAAGGGGACTCAGGGAGGTGACCAAACAAAGGTAATGCAGTGTTACAGGTGCCATAACAAAAGTATGCACATAATCTAATAAAGCTACAAAGGAGTATTGATCACCCGTAGCCTGCGAAGTTAGGAATGTCTTCACAGAAGTGTGGGAGATAGATAGGCTGATCTCTCCATGGGCCCTCCAATTCAGGGTAAAGCATACAGGTGGGCCATCCCTATGGCTTCTCCCAGATCACCCAAGAAAGAAGAGAGGAGCCTAGAGGCAGCCCAGTCAGGGGACTGTCAACATGACCATCCCTGCATTGGGGGATCAGCAGAACAGGCAGGTTAAGACCTTTGGACTTCTAATCAGCAGTTTAGATTAGAGAAGTTAGGATATCTGGGAGGAAACCTGCTTTCTCCCTCCTCTTTTCTAAATATACATTATCAGACCATTCCAGACATTCCAGATTACCCCATCTTCCTGGAAGCGGAGGTTTCCCTCTAATTCTATTTTTGAGCACAATAAAAGACCTCTGAGAGATTAGAATGGTGCTGCATTGCCTCAGTCTGCTACTTGGTGCAGGAGACAATGTATGCCTCTCCAGGCCTCTCAGACTTTATGCATTTAGTTGGTGTGAAGTCTCCCTTCATCCTTCAGTACTATATCCCTTGTCAGCCCCCAGCCCAGGTTAGGGTTCACCCAGAACCCCAACATAGAAGCAATGACTTTGATACTACTTCCCATAGGATAAGAGTTCAAAAAGTGAACAAGGATGAAAGGCATTCCTGGCAGTAACGATATATATGTGAGCAGAGTAGTGAGCAGAACAAAACTTCCTGATACCTATACAGCTCTGCAGAAGTGCAGTGCAGAACAGACAGAGGAAGAGATGGGGGATGAAGCAGTGAAGGCCAGATCATGAAGGGCCTTGGAAGCCACAAAAAGGAGCCTGGACCTTATCTTACAGACAATGAGGGTGTGTTACTAAAAGACACTAAACCATAGAGTAAGATGGCCAGAGTTAGCTTTAGAAAGATCTGTCTACAATGACGGTGGAGGACAGATGAAACGGGTACGGTGAAGACAGGGAGATCAGGTAGGAGACCTAATAGTCTAGGTGCGATATTGCTGCCAAAGAAATTTATAAATATACACTACTCAGAAGTATTGTCAAAATAAACATTCACAGATCCCTATCTTTCTAGATAGATTTCTGGACCAAAGTCGACCCATTTTTGCCCATCTTTAGGAGTTGGCCAAACTGACATGATTCATAACACAGGGAGAGGTAAAAAATGGGTGTGGGCCAACTAAAACATCCTGCATGAACTGAGTCTGGGCAATTCAAACTCCTTAGTTTGGCCCGGATGCTTACCCAGTGCTCTGGCTGCTGACTTCCTCCTTGCTCCCGCTCTGGCTGGCATGCTATTTTATAGATGAGCATTAAGAGATTAAATACAGCACTGGATAAAAGAGGGAACGAGATTGGTCCAGGTATATTTTCCTGATGTCTCTTAACCTTCCCACCAATGAAATTGACTGCTCCCTCCACAGTGTATGGCACACAGCAGATACTTAATAAATGTTGTTAGATCAATCAAGGAATAATAAACAAAAATATCAGGAGTGAAGGGGAACACAGGGAGAAAAAAACAGCAGAAACAATGAGCCTAAAAAGTCAGAGAAAGAAAGCTGACGGAAGACAAGGGAAGAGGGCCTTGATGAGGACCAGCAAGCAGGCAGGCAGGTCCTTGAGTGTGACTCAGGAGGGTGCTGGTGGGTGCAAGGAACACTCCTAGGGAGCGAAAGGCACAGAAGCAAGTTTTCAGAGGGCTGAGGGATGAACTGGAGATCAGGAAGTAGAGCCAAGTGGAAACTTCTTTCAAAAGCCTGGTCTGGGAAGGACAAAAGGGAAGGCAGTAGCTAGAAGGCAATGCAGGGTGTGAGGGAAGGAAATAGTTAAATAGTTGATAGAAGCGTCCAGTACTCCCTTTCTTCCTCTCTACCCTCTCTTCCTGCTTTTCCCTTCCCTCCCCCCTCTTCACCCCTGTCCTCTCTCTCCTCCCTTCTCTGAAGTTTTCTGTCCCTTCCAATTTGAGAACACTGTGTTCTCTGGCCAGCTGCCTCTGTCCTGCCCCACTGGCATTCCCTGGCACACTGCACTACAGAAAAGGCTTCGTCTTTCCTGTTTATTCACTAATCAGGTAATTTCTTAATGTTAGTCAAAGGTGAAAATCCATTCTCCCCATTAGGGAGAAACTGGGGCATCATGGCCTCCCTGGGTATTACTACTTAGCAGTCACACCTCCAGTAGCAGGAAAATCTGCAAAAGGGATGTGGCAGGCAGGGTGTCAAACCCCAGGCCAACCTGAGCACGGACCAAATAGCTAATGATGCCCTGAATATTTCAGATAGCAAATCCAAAGAGGCCTGCTTGTTTTTATAAAACGATTCATCTGCAAACTCAGTGCAATTAATTATGCTTTTGCTTTTGACCTGAAACATTTATATATGTACTCACATTGCTATTTTTTGATTTATGGTTTTTTGGGGGGGGGTTGGTAGCGACAGAGTCTCACTTTATCGTCCTTGGTAGAGTGCATCACAACTCACAGCAACCTCCAACTCCTGGGCTTAGGCAATTCTCTTCCCTCAGCCTCCTGAGTAACTGAGACTACAGGTGCCCGCCACAACACCCAGCTATTTTTTTGTTGCAGTTTGGCGGGAGCCAGGTTTGAACCTGCCACCCTCGGTATATGGGGCTGGTGCCCTACCCACTGAGGCACAGGTGCCGCCCTGATTTATGGATTTTTGATAGTCTCAATAACTTCCTGTTATGGGAAATCAGTACTTAACTTTCTTAGAACACATTGCTTCTTCCCTTCTCATCCACACAGTGCTTTCTGGTTAATTTTCTTTTATGAGCTTTGCACTGAACCTAGAAAACACCTTGATAATGACAGTGCATACGCTAAAACCTTTCACTAATTACTTCAGGTATGACACCCACCTTAGTCTTCATCACTGATTTAAGCAACTCTCGCACAAAGATTTTGAACAGGGCCAGGCGTAGTGGTGCAGACCTATAATCCTAGCACTCTGAGAGGCCAAGGTGGGAGGACTGGTTGGGCTCAGGAGTTGGGAGAATAGGCTGAGCAAGAGCAAGATGCCATCTTTACTAAAAATAGAAAAATTAGGTGGGCTTTGTGGTGGGGGCCTGTAGTTCCAGCTACTCAGGAGGCTAAAGAATGAGAATCTCTTGAGCCCAAGAGTTTGAGGTTGCTGTGAACTATGATGATGCCATGGCACTCCACACTCTACCCAGGGCGACACAGTGGGACTCCATCTCAAAAAATAATAATAATAATAATAAGATTTTGAACAGCTGAGACCGCCCTCTCTGACCATAGCCCCATCCTATCTTTGGGAGTCTTCCCCTCCTTCCCTTCCTTTTGCATCTTTCCTCCCAATGTGCCTTTATCCTCCCATGATTTCATTTATATAAGTACCTACATTGCTGTTTTTTCAGCCTGGTTGGCCATTTTAGGAGTGTTTCACTGGCACCCCAAAACCTTTCCCAGCCACATTCTCTAGCTGCCACCTGCCAAGTGGTGATAGAGAAAGGCCAGAAAACAAGCTGGTTACTTCTACAACGAATTGATACCACATTGTCTCAGCTGGGCCCTTGCTGATACAAGGCAAACTTCTGTTGGCCTCCATCTGATGCCCACAGTATGTTTTTCCAGTAACTATTCCAAATGTATTCCAAATGTCCCGACCTTATATTCATCTGGCTTTCCTTCCACAGAGGAGCCTACATCTTGTCTCCCTGCCAAAATCCAGATCAGCTCAACCTCCATCCTCCCCATTTCCAAACAATGGCCTGGACACTCTAATTCATACCCACATTTGCCTGTCATCTCAGTAGGGTTCCAGGATCCCCTGAGGGTGCCTCTGCTGTAAACGTCTCCATACTGTCCTCTGACCTCCCTCTTTTGTCTTTCCTCCTCCCTTAGACCATCCTATCCTACCATCCTTCCATACCCATCCTCAAAGAGCCCATGCCCAGGGCCTCTATTTTCTTGGCACCTGTGAGGTCCCTAAGCCCTTGAACTCCACCTTCCATTACTGTCTGGAAGCTCTCCGAGCTCACCAAGGACCTACCCCCATGGCCCTCTCTCTCCTCCTGAGACTTTGCTTCAATTCTTAGCACTTTCTTTTTCTTAGTGGTTTTATCTGATTCTTAGATGCTACCCTGGTCTTAGGTGAAGGAGGAGATTTTTTTTCAGATCATGCCATGCCCTCTTTGCAATCCATCTGTGGCTCCCTGTCCTCATAGGATAAATTCAGGACTCTTCAGCTTAACATATAATAATAATAGTGAATAGTTAATACAGAACATTCCTTGTGCACCAGGCACTATTCTATATGCTACATTTGCATAATACAGGGTTATGCCAATTATTATGCCCATTTTCACATGAGTAAACTGGGGTACAGATTAAGGCAAAAGTTAAGTGGCTTTTCCAAGGACAAACAGATAGTAGTAGAGACAGGATTGATTCCGTCTACCTGCAGAAGCCTTGCATCTAACCATTATACCACATTACCTTTCCCAGGAAGACTTTTCATGGTCTCCCCCTCAGCCCCAGCCTCTCACAGCTGGAAGTCATGGTTTGTTCCTTCTGGCTGCCCAGTTTGGGGAGGCTTCCCCTCCCTTGCCTTCCACTGTGGCTGTTACAGTGCCCATTCTCTTTCTCCCCCTCCTTCTCCTCCTCCCCTCTTTATACCCTAAATGCAAGGATTCCCCATGCCTCTTGCTTGTCCTGTCACAGAAGCCATCTCATTGCCCTCATGTTAGTGAGGAGAAATAGGAAAATGTTGAGTCAGTTAGGCTAATGTAGGAATACTTTAAGACTACACCACCCCCTTACCACCTTGCTTAAGCAACTTTTTTTTCCCTGATGTCACTGGCCCCCAGAGCCAGGCTGTAAAGATGTATATCTCAAGGAATAGAGCAAACAATCCTCGGGAGTGACAGCACCTGCAATATCCTTAATCATTTCTACAGTTCTTTATCACTACACTGGGCATGCTAGGTCACACTGCATTTTTCAATCTCACACAGAGGACCTCTCTTTCTGCAATATAGTACGTGATGAAGTAAGAAGCAGGCATTATTCTATTCCTTGATTAAAATCTTCAGACCCTATAAGGGTTTGTCTAGTCCAGGTATCCTCAACTACAGCCCGCCTAGGATATTTATCCGGCCCGCCAGGTGTTTTTGCCGCCGCTGCCTGTCCTGCTTAGCAGCCGACTCATCCTGAGGCCTGCAGTCCGGCCCTCCAATGGTCGGAGGGACAGTGAACTGGCCTCCTATTTAAGTTTGAGGACCCCTGGACTCTAGTCACTGATCCTAAGAGTGTGTCTGTAAATAGCACAGAGCTCCCTGAACTGTTCCACCACGAAATTCTTTTGTTTCACATAGGTGTGAACTAAGCAACTAAAAGGACCCCTCTTGACCAAGAGTACCCCAGAAATATCCTAAAGCTGAGTTTCTGGCCATGAGTCTGGAGGTCAGACATGCTTCCTCATGCCCCCTTCTCTTCTTGGAAATATCCTTTGTAACTCATGAATAGGCCTAAGGCTATGGAAGACAAAGCTTGAACCACCCCTTCAATTCTTCAATTTACTTAATAGATCACATGAGTCTATGTCCTATATGTCCAGTATGAACTAACATAAAGTCTTTTTTTTTTTATTTTGAGACCATGTCTCACTTTGTTGTCCCCAGTAGAGAGCTGTAGTGTCATACCTCACAGCAACCTCAAACTCTTGGGCTTAAGGGATTGTCTTGCCTGAGCCTTTCAAGTAGACGGGACCACAAGCACCCACCACAATTCCCGACTTAACATATAGTCTTAAGGCTATAGGTTCTCCACCTGTGGGTTGCGACCCCTTTGGGCTTCTCTTGCATATCAGATATTTCATCACGATTCATAACCGTAGCAAAATTACAGTTATGAAGTAGCAATGAAAATAATTTTATGGTTGGAACACGAGGAACTGTATTAAAGGGTCACGGCATTAGGAAGGTTGAGAACCACTGTCTTAAGGCTTCTCTCTTCCCGAGTGGCAGAATGACTGGCACCCTCTTGGCCAAGGAGATCCCTAAAACTGAATTGCTAGCCATGAGAAAGATCAGACAGGCCTCATCATGTCCCCCCCATCTACCCTGCCTTCTTAAAAATGTCCTTTGTGACTCATTAACAAGTCTAAGGATATGCAAGACAGAAGTGCAGGTCCTCAATATACACAACAAACCACTTGACTCTGGGCACAGGTCCTACGGTTTGTCTCAGATTAACAGATCTTTAACTCAAGCCTCCCTTTTCAAGGACTCCTGGTCTATTAGATAAAACCTAAGTCTTTCAGCCAATTGTCAGCAAAAGGCTCTTTAAACTCATCTGTAACCTGCAGCTACTTCCCCTTTGAAATGTCCCACTTTTCAAGCCAAACCAATGCATGCCTTCAACATACTGATTTATGACTTTACCTGTAATTCCTGTCTCCCTGAGATGTATAAAACCAAATTGTAACCCTACTACCTTGAGTCTATGTGCTCAAGGATTCCTGGGTCATGTTCCTCAAATGTAGGTCAGAATTAACCTCTTTAAATTATTTTATAGAGAGGCTCGGCACCTGTAGCACAGCAGCTAGAGCAGCAGTCACATATACCAGAGCTGGCGGGTTTGATTCCAGCCCGGACCTGCCAAACAATGACAATGGCAACCAAAAATTAGCTGGATGTTGTGGCAGACACCTGTAGTCCCAGCTACGTGGGAGGCTGAGGCAAGAGAATTGCTTAAGCCCAAGAGTTTGAGGTTGCTGTGAGCTGTGACACAGGGTGACACAGGGTGACTAGGGTGACAACTTGAGACTTTGTCTCAAAAAAAAAGAAAAAAATTATTTTATAGAGCATGGTTTCTTTTACATCAACAGTGTAATTCCTGTCTTCCTGAAATGTAACCAATCTGCTGGCTTGGCACCCATGCTCAGTGGTTAGGGCAACAACCATATACACTGGAGCTGCGGATTTAAATCCGGCCTGGGCCTGCCAAACAACAATGACAACTGCAACAAAAAAATAGCCAGGCTATGAGGCAGGCACCTGTAGTCCCAGCTAATTGGGAGGCTGAGGCAAGAGAATTGCTTAAGCCCAAGAGTTGGAGGTTGCTGTGAGCTGTGATATAACAGCACTCTATCTAAGGTAACATAATGAGACTCTGTCTCAAAAAAAAACAATCTGTAACCCAACTACAATTAGACCACTTGGCTCAAGGCTTCTTGGGCATGTTAGAGGGCCTAACATGGCCCCATACAAGCCCTTCCCCCTCCTCTTCCTCTCCTCCTAAGACTATACAATGGACCCAGTTAGCCCTATACCCGAAAAAATTCTTGCCAAAGGAGTCTAACCCACCAAAGCCCTCCCAGTGAGCTGTGGAATTTGCCCGCCTCCTATAGCTCCATATAAAAGGAGTCTTCCTAGGTGCAGACATCGTCTTTTGCCTTTTCTTTTCTTTTTTTTTTTTTTTTTAGACACCATCTCACTCTATCACCCTGGGTAGAATGCCATGCTGTCATAGCTCATAGCACATTACAGATGGGTTTAAAGATTCATAGCTCATCGCAACCTTAAACTCTTGGGCTTGAGAAATCCTCCTACCTCAGCCTCCCCAGTAGCTGGGACTACAGGTGCCCGCCACCATGCCCAACTAATTTTTCTATGTTTAGCAGAGACGGGGTCTCACTCTTGCTCAAGCTGGTCTCTAACTCTTGAGCCCAAGCAATCAATGGGCCTTGGTCTTCCAGAGTGCTAGGATTACAGGCATGAGCCACCACACCCAGCCCTCTTTGGCCTTTCAATAAATGTGACCTAAACATCTCCAGTCTGGTCTGGTCTCTGGGCACACTAAACACACCTTTCAGAGCATGGCTTTCCAGGCTCACAATAAACTTAATTATTTTATAGAGTCTGAGTTCTTTTCTGTTGACATTGAGCATATAGACTAAGCATTCTTGAAGATAACTGTTTTTTCATAATTGATGACAGTGGGTATCCACCATAATGTTTACTGAAAACGGTTGACAATCTGGAACAACTGACTATTGCAGGAAGATGAGGCCTAATGGAGAGAAAGAGCACCCAAACACCATGTTTAAAAAAGGAAGGGCCAGCAGAGCAATGGCACAGAATTCAAAATGGCCATATTCCCGAGCTGGTTCAGTCTTCTCCTTTTTATCCCCAGTCAAAAAATAATTATCAAGTTCTTCATATTATCTTAGAAGTTCAAGACCAAATTTAATGTTCAAGTATAATATTAATAATTCCACTAGCCCTTGTACACAGCACTTTTTCTTCTTTTTCATCTCTTAAATTTTCTATTTCTATAGTATTTCTATTTGCATTTTCTTTTTTTTTTGAGACAGAGTCTTACTTTGTCACCCTGGGTAGAGTGCTGTGGTATCATAGCTCACAGAAACCGCAAACTGTTGGGCTCAAGAGATTCTCTTGCTTCAGCCTCCCACGTAGCTGGGACTACAGGCAACCGCCACAACGGCTGGCTTTTTCTTAAGAGTCAAGATCTCATTCTTGCTCAAGCTGGTCTCCAACCCCAGAGCTCAGACAATCCACCTGCCTCAGCCTCCCAGGTGCTAGGATTACAGGCATGAGCCATCCACCCCTTCTATTTGCATTTTTACAACTTTATTGTACATGTGTCTTTTCTTTAAGGTTACCTCAGACTCTTTTTGAAGATGCCACATTTGTTCAAGACTAAAACTTGACTAATGGATTCTCCAATCTCAACATTCCAAAAGTTGCCTCACTTCTCTATGCCAAATGGAAAAAAGTTAAGAAATACTCAGCCATTTGATGCCTTATATGCACATTTTTAAATCATATCTCATTTCATATCAGTCTATAAAATTCTACAAAGAGAAAGGGAAAATGTTACCTGAAGAGTTCTCATTAGGAAATATATGTTGTATTTCAAACACTTTTTGTTTGCTTCCTCTGGAATTTTATTTGCTCTCTGTTCTCCACAGGGTTAGAAGTGTAGCAAATGGGAAAGAATAAGGAGATTACTATTTACTGGCTATGTAGAAAATAAAAATTAAAAGGAACAATTTCACTACTCTCATTACACAGCGACTGGGCACTGGAAAATGAAGGTGGGGTTGGGACAGCAAGTTCAGCCCAGACTACAGGGAGAGCTGCTTCAGCAACACAATTCTCACGGCCCAGTTGTACAGCAGGCCTCTGCACTTAGGCAGTTTCCACAAAGTTACCCCGCAACTGTCAGCACTAACCATGAAAGAGCTGACTTTCCCCACTGCCAAGAATCCCGCTTTTCAGAGTTCCGATTTTTAAGTATAAGATCACCCCCAACTTCTAACCAATACTTTCCCAAATTCCAAGCGAGTGAAGATCCAAAAAGTAGGGAAAGGTCTGGGCGGTGGCTCACACCTGTAGTTGCAGACTCTGAGAGGCTGAGGTGGGAGGATCGCTTGACACTGCTCTGAGCGAGGCGATGCCACTGCACTCTCGCCTGGGCCACAGAGTGGGATTCTGTCGCAAAAACAGAAAGGGAAAATTTAGCGACGAAATTAATTCCAGGTATCAAATTTGAAAGATCTTTTAAGAAAATTAAAAAGCCATAATCAAGACCTATTTCCAAACAGCGAACAGACTGTGTTCCCTTGCCCACCAACAAACACACCCCTACCTGACGTTGGAGAAGAGTCCAGTTCTGGATCCGCGACCAGGCCGCGGGTGCTTCCTGCCCTCCCTCTCGCTGCCCACTCCGCCTCCTGCATGGCTGTCACAACAGCCCCCCCTTGTGGTGAGAGTCCGGGCTGCTTCAAGCCCTTGTGGTCCTCGCCGTGTCATCCTTGCTCAGCTGGAGAAGAATCAGATCAATTTTTTACAAAATGAAAAGCAGAACAAAGGAAAAGAGCTGCGCCGGCCAGCCAGAGAGTTTCCTGTGCTCTTCAGCTCCTGAGATGCAAGTCCCCTGCTGGCGTAAAGGGACGGGAGGAGGCAGATTTGAGCAGAGCCCAGTTGCTTAGAGTGCCTGTGGCACTCAAACCCTTTCAAAAAGAACTGCAATGATTTCGTGTCTTGTACATATATATTACATATATATGTTATATGTAGTATATTACATATGGGGTACATAATACATATACTTTTTAATAACAGCTTTATTGAGGCATAATTCACATACCATACAATTCACTGCTTTGTGGGTGTTTCCAGCCCAAACTGCATCCAGCTTTACTAAAGATACTTTTCTTTATTTTGAATTAATATGAAAGCACAAATTTTTATGGTACATTGTTCTGACTTCCAAAGTGAAGTTTAAGTTGTAGAAGAGTCCTCACGGGAGGGGCAGGGGAGTGATGGCGGCGCTTGAGGAACCCCCTCACATTGTGTACATTAGGTGAGATCCCGCCAGTTGCCCTCCCTCCTCCGACGAATCTCCCTCCCCTCTCTTCTTTCCCTCCTCACCCCTCCCCCTTGCTGGACATATTTGTGTTATGTCATTCATATGAGCATATGTTTATTTACTGGTTTCATATTAGTATTGAGTACATTGGATTTTTTTTCCTTTTTTCGAGACAGTCTCACTTTGTTGTCTTCAGTAGAGTGCTATGGCCTCATAGCCACAGCAATCTCAAACTCTTGGGCTTAAGCAAGTCTCTTGCCTCAGCACCCCAAGTAGCTGGGACTACAGGCGCCTGCCACAAAGCCGACCCGGCTATGTTTTCTAGAGATAGGGGGTCTCCCTCTGGCTCAGGCTGGTCTCGAACCTGTGAGCTCAGGCAATCCACCCACCTCTGCCTCCCAGAGTTTTATGGGGGTTTTTCTTTCCCTATTCTTGGGATACTTTACTAAGAAGAATGTGTTTCAACTCCATCCAGGTAAACTTTTTTTTTTTTTTTTTT